AAAAACAAAGCTGGGGGCATCACATTGTCTGATTTCAGGCTGTACCGCAAAGCTGTGATCACCAAGACAGCATGGTGCTGACACAGAAGCAGACACATGGATCAACGGAACAGAATAGAGAGCCCAAATATGGACCCTCAACTCTATGGTCAACTAATCTTCAACAAATCAGGAAAAAATATGCAATGGAAAAAAGACAGTCTTTTCAATAAATGATGCTGGGAAAACTGGACAGCTATATACAGAAGAATGAAACTCGACCATTCTCTTACACCATACACAAAGATAAACTCTAAATGGATGAAAGACCTCAATGTAAGACGGGAATCCATCAAAATCCTAGAGGAGAACATAGGCAGTAACCTCTTCGACCTCGGCCACAGCAAGTTCTTTCAGGACACGTCTCCAAAGGCAAGGGAAACAAAAGCAAAAATGAAGTTTTGGGACTTCATCAAGATAAAATCTTCTGCACAGCAAAGGAAACAGTCAACAAAACTAAGAGGCAACCCATGGAATGGGAGAAGATATTTGCAAATGACATTACAGATAAAGGGCTGGTATCCAAGATCTATAAAGAACTTCTCAAACTCAACATCCAAAAAAACAAATAATCCAGTCAAAAAATGGGCAGAAGACATGAACAGACACTTCTCCAAAGAAGACATACAAATGGCGGACACATGAAAAAATGTTCAACATCATTAGGCATCAGGAAATTCAAATCAAAACCACATTGAGATACCACCTTACACCACTTAGAATGGCAAAAATTAACAAGGCAGGAAACAACAAATGTTGGAGAGGATGTGGAGAAAGGGGAACCCTCTTACACTGTTGGTGGGAATGCAAGTTGGTACAGGCACTTTGGAAAACAGTATGGAGGTTCCTCAAACAGTTAAAAATAGAGCTCCCCTATGACCCAGCAATTGCACTACTGGGTATTTACCCCAAGGGTACAGATGTAGTGAAAAGAAGGGCCCCATGCACCCTAATGTTGATTGCAGCAATGTCCACAATAGCCAAACTGTGAAAGGAACCAAGAGGCCCTTCAACAGATGAATCGATAAAGATGTGGTTCATATATACAATGGAATATTACTCAGCCATCAGAAAGGATGAATATGCACCATCTGCATCAACATGGATGGAACTAGAAGGGATTATGCTAAGTGAAATAAGTCAAGCATAGAAAGACAATTATATGGTTTCACTCATATGTGGAACATAAGGAATAGCACAGAGAACATTAGGGGAAGGAAGGGAAAACTGAAGGGGGAGAAGTCAGAGGGGGAGATGAACCATGAGAGACTATGGTCTCCAGGAAACAATCTGAGGGTTTCAGAGGGGAGGTGGGTGGGGGGATGAGGTAGCCCAGTGATGGGTATTAAGAGGGTACGTGTTGCAAAGAGCACTGGGTGTTATACACAAATAATGAATCATAGAACACTACATCAAAAACTAATGATGTGCTGTATGGTGACTAATATAACATAATTAAAAATATATATATATGGTTAATTTTATGTCATGTGAATTCCAGTTTGATTAAAAGTTCATTTTTATTTTTTAAAAAATTTTTTTAAAAGATTTTATTTATTTATTTGACAGAGACAGAGATAGCAAGAGCAGGAACACAAGCAGGGGGAGTGGGAGAGGGAGAAGCAGGCTTCCTGCCGAGCCGGGAGCCCGATGTGGGACTCGATCCCAGGATCCTGGGATCATGACCTGAGTTGAAGGCAGACGCTTAACGACTGAGACACCCAGGTGCCCTAAAAGTTCATTTTTTAAGTAACTAAAAATGTGAGTGATTAATCTCACAATAGATTTAAAAAATAGGTATTTTCTGATTTTAATATGTTAAAATTTTGAAGCTAAGTCTGTTTATATTATGTAGAAATAACAGTTTCTCTTAGGCTGGGTTCCTCTAATTACCTGAAATTCTATTAGTGAATCTCTCAACATAGTTTCACATACGAAACGGACATGAGGTGAGGGGTGTTATTGTCATATGGATTTGTAAACCTATAGTTATCATGAATAAATAAAAATTAATGTCCAGTTGCCCCAAATAAATCCCGACTTCACAAAGATTATCAGGAGACTATATATAACCTTAAGGGTCATATGACAAAGATCAAGGAATAATTTCTAAGGCATTATTATCAGTAGCACTTAAGGGCAGAAACGATATTTTCCAGTGCCATAAGATCCATGTGCGGAGGTGGTCAACATAAGAAACAATAATAGCCAGAAAACTATAAAACACCTGAGAACATAACAGTCTTCATGGGTTATAAATAAAAGGATTTCCAGAACTTTACACATGTGGTGGAAAATTGTGTCAAAAGTCATAGTGATGAAATGTAAGAAATTGGCTATGTTTCTATAAAATAAACTTAGATATTTAGGTATTAGTTTAGCATACCAAGAGTTACAGGGTGAATCTAGACACGGAAATGATATAACAATAAAGCATCTGAACCGAACTTTAAAATATCTCTATAAAATTCATATAATACCTAACAAGTTATGTTTAGTAAACTTAAGATATACTATATAAAGACCAAAATATCTTATAAAAGAAATTATGAATGAATTTCTTTGTATTTCTGAGGTTGAACACAGTCACTTAATAACAAAAGCATATTCTCAAGATATCCAATATGCTCAATTTTAAAAATCCAAATTCATTCCAGTGAGAAAGGTATTCGTCAATAAGTAGGTATTAACTCAAGCAAAACAGATATAGGAAAGATAACTATGATTTTATTTTCACCAAATTCCAGATAAAGGTTTTTGAACTAAGACTGCTCCTCCATATCCCTTAGTACTCAGGAAGGAAATCTTGTAAAATATATGAAACAACATTCATTCCCTGATCAAACAGTCCCACAAATTACAGGTATAAAACAAAGAACATTGATGAGTGTCATCAAAAACACATAATCAATAATTAAATACATATATAACAAGTTCATTTGTCATAGATGGAACCCTGCAGATCAAAGTAACGTTCAACTACAGAAATGCAGTAGAGTTCAATAAGGTAGGCATCATGAACTCATAAATTCCCTCAACACAATAAATCAACATCTTATTTGTTGAAGAAGGAACAATGGCACACACAGGCAATGACACTGTTGCATGAACGATAGTTTGGTCAGCAGTCTCACAGATGAGGATATGAAGGCAGACAATTTTCTCCCTAGAATAAATTCCTGAACTTATTCACGCCAAACTAAGGGGGATGATCCTTACAATAATCCATCAACATTGCCACAATGTCCTCAAGACACACTTTGGTAACACGCCAAAAACCGGAAGGACAACTGGAACCAGAAGCCACGGTCTCATGCTACACTCAATGTCAGCATCCTGGAACATGCTGACCACACTACTCAGGTGCTTCAGGGCCCACGTCTCTACTAGGCAGGGTGATGCTGTGACATTTAAATATATGTGCTCTCCATCCAGAATGTTCTTTTACCCAGGAAAATTCCTCCTGGGAGAGTTCACCACGAGGTGCCCAGTTGTCCAAAATATGAGGATAAAATTTCAGACGCTGAGGAACTGTATTTCAGAACCAAGAAAATTTCACAGGCAACACCATACAAACTTAGGAGACCAGGAAATCAGGGACAGCCAAGGGTTTCCCACACTCCCAGACTAAGGAGGAGCTACAAGAAGGAGACAAAGACAGGAAATTAAGGAAGGGGGTCTGATTTTGCGGGGTGTTCAAACAGGACCTAGGGTCTGCCTACAGACTCCAGGCTGAGGGCCCAAATCCTGAGATACAGTCCCCTTGAAGGACTGGGAATCAAAGGTTTTCCCCGCCCTCTCTCTATACAGCACCGCTGAAAGCAATCTCAAAACACCCTTCTATTCCCAGTACACATGCCCCTGAAGGGCGAAAGTGGAAATGAGGATATGGTAGAGGCACGGAACAGGCAGAGGGCTTGAGACAGCCCATGCTCCTGCCTGGAGTCCCAGATGCAAAAGAGCAGCCGATGTTCCCATCATGACAGGTCACTCAGCACACGAAATGGGATGCAAGCTGGAGAAGGCCTGCAGTCAGGACGAAGGGGAGCCTCAGATCAGATCTGTGTGGACGGAGTAGGGAAGGAGAAGCTAAGGAAGGAAGAATACCCCTTACAAAGAGCCCTTCATGTGCTCCCCAAGGTTGAACCAGTAAAGGGCCCTAGGGGGGCAGAGAACTGCATGTCTGGGTCATGTTAAAGACCGCCCTTGTCGCTGACAAGAGCAGCAGAACCACCGAGGAGGGCAGGAAACACACACATACGAAGCAGAAAGTGGAGAGGGAGAATAACAAGTTCCTCTGAGAGTCCATGAGCAATGAACGCTTCTTTTCCAACCACCTCTCCTATCCGGGGGGAATGTTCCAAATGACATTTCAGGAAGTCACTTTCTCTCTGCCATCTATCCCTATTCGTGTTCACATCTTTGACACCTTCCCACCCACCTGGGTTTTGTTGCTAGTTTTACCCCACTCTTAGCATTTCAGAGCAAGCACTCTCCACAGTGGAGATAATATTCAGCTCAGAAAGAGATTCCTGCTGATATGGAAAACAGGAGATGATGGCCTGGGGTCTTCCCAGTCCTTTGTCAGCTGAGACCAAGGACAGGCGCGTCTAGAACAGCATTTCACAAATTTGTTCAATGACATTCTTCTTCTAATGCTTAAATGTTTGACAGATATCCAGCTCTCTTCCCAGAACGACCAAATCAAAATTACAGGTGTAAAACCAGGGAATGTGGTATTTTAAAGTTTTGACATAAGGTCTTGTTCCTTCTAGCACCACCACTACCGGCATGATCATCTGCGTTTAAAATCCAGATACCACATTGTGAAGCTTTTCATTTCTGAATCAGCAGGGCTTCAATTTCAGTCAAGCAGAGAAGGGGCTCCCAAGAAATCCCCAAGAAAAACACAAAGATACACCAGAGCAGTACCCAACCTCCGTAGGGAAACTAATCCTCACCCAGGAAGACCAGGTTCCTGTAGTTCTCCACCATCACGTCCCTGTACAAGGCCCTCTGAGCAGGGTCCAGGCACTCCCACTCCTCCGGAGAGAATTCTATGGCCACATCCCTGAAGGTCAACAGTCCCTGAAATGAAAGCACATTTCACCAAGAGGCCATAAGAAGAGTACTTATTTCACAAAAATGAGAGGAGGAAAGAGGTAGAAGGGTCAATTAGACAGAAATAAATAATCAGATAAATACATTAAAGATCATTTTGAGCAATGAAGATTTGTTACACTTTTCCACCAGGGAATTTCCATCAGCTAAACTACTGAATTTTATAATATTATGCCAGGTAAAACAGACAAATGAAAAAACACCAAGAAATGGTAGACTATATGTAGGTTCTAAATAATATGTTGTATACACCACATGACAGCTAATTTCTACATAAGCAAGAGCATGAATAATGTCTTCAGGGATGACCAAATGCACAGTAGTGTCAATGAAGGGTGAAAGCTGGAAAAACGGAAGCTGATGATAACCAAACGGACTAAAAGTTTTGAATACTCCCCAAATGGTAAGCATTACTGTAATGCTTTGCAAGTGTTAATTTGTTTAAAGACATAGCATCCCATTAAATTAGTATTTGTTCCCATCTTACACAGGACCCAAGTCTGTCACACACACTCTAAGGAATGTGCCTCTGGTCAAACAGGTAATAAATGGTAGAGCCTGCACCTGAACCAAGTGGTCAGGCTTTAGGATAGAACTCGCAGCAATCAGAGAGTAAAGTAATGGATACAACAGTAAAAGTCTGTTGACAAAGGGTTTTCTAATGGAGAAAACATGAAACAAGTTCAAGGTTGAAACATAAGCCTGGATAAAAGGTCAACATATCTGCATGCACACAAACATGCATAAACATACAGTTAGTATCCTTACTGCTATTTATTTATTTATGTGGTGGTGTAGAAAAAATTTAAGGCCATGAAAAATATTTCAAACATACTTTCAAAGTTAAAATAAAAGTTATTTATGAAATGATGACATCTTTTTACACACTACAGGCTCCTGCCCATACACGTGTGCACACATAAACACACACTGAAAGTAACTGAAATCAAAGCTGGAGTCTCTAAATGACATCTATTTTTAGAATAAATCTTCATTATCTCTCATTTTTTACTCATGTGCATTTCAGTAGCTCTGGTACAATAAACGTGAATAAATTGTACTAAAGGTAAATAGAATTGTCAATGTTATTCTATTTAGCCTGCTCACAAAAACAACCCTGCAAAAAAATTTTTTTAACATAACAACATTTAACTTCGATCTCCATTTAAATAGATACATGGAAGTATCTATTGAGTATCTATGAGCTGGAATCTGCATGCAGATCGAGGGGCTGAGGGCAGGTCCTGGGGTGAGCATGAGCAAACATGTCAGGAGGGACACCAGAGTGTGACGAGCACGGCCACCTGGAAGTGAGGACACAGACGACAGAACAAGGAACTGAGATAGGACTTTACCTGAGAATGAGTCATTCCTGACTCTCTGGGCTTTCCTCCTCTCCCTCCCCCGGGCTTCTCTGCCAGGCTAGATGGGTCTTGAGACATCGATCCTGAGTGTCAAATATATGCTGTTTAGAACTTGGTCAACATACGCCTTCCTGTTCCACAAACACACACACAGGAAGATCCCCCCCTCTGCTGCCCACCGCCACAGGAGGGATTCAGGGACACTGTACTGCTACAGGAAGACAAGCAAGTGAGTGTCGTGACCTCTTCCTGCAGAACTCACTCCCCTCCTGGTGAAGCACACACATGAGCTGCAGCAGTGGGGATCTGGGCTGCATTAACCCTCCATTTAAAGTCACAGACCTGCCCTGGTAACACCCCATGTAGAGAACAACCCCCCTCGCCTCTCTCTAGATCAGGGGCTGCTTTCAGTTCTCATCAATGGATGAGCCAGAGCCCTAGTGCTTGATGCGGGATACTGAGGCTGAGCCCCATAACCCCAAACACAAGAAGAGAAATCTCTGGGGACTGGGCACAGGAGGAATGTGCAAAATGCCTCAAAATCCCATGGGAAGTCAGGGTGGAGCACCAGAGGAGACCAGCCCAGCACCCCACCCACCTGTGGCTCTGCTCCCTCCTAAGGCCCTGTCCCCTGTATCCAGACAGTGGAAGAGAAAGGAGCAGAGAGACCCATGCAGAGCAGGCATTACAGGTCAGAGTGGGGGGTTGGAGGGAGGCTAGAATGGGACATGGCAGTGTCACAGATGGCCCCATGAGAAGGTGATGTCACAACAAACACCTGGGGAAGGAAGTTCACCACCTGCATTTGAAGTCAGAGAATTCTAGACAGAGGGACCACCCTTGGGAAAGCCCTGGGGCAGTGCTGACCCTGGCCTCAAGAACAGCAAAGGCATCTGTGGGCCTCAATCCCAGTGAGGGAGGAGGAGACAAGCAGGGGATCAGGTCACAGAAGTAGATCAGGAATGTCCAGCCATGGTCTTCAGACAATGTTCTCCTCCATCTCAAGTGAATTTTGGAAGCCCTGTACTCTCCCACCCATACTGCCTTTCTTTTTTTCTTTTCCACTCAAGGGAAAACACACATGAATAATGTAATATACCGTATATTTTGAAAATATGCTGTGTATTTTGATGGTCATTACAGCTCCAGGAAGATGGCACTGCTCTTAACGGGAAGTGGAAGACTGCAAGGAACACAATTGGGGGAGTTCAGGAGGTCATGTTTGGACACCATAAGGTGGAGATATCCCAGCAGAGATGTCAAGCATCTCTTCTGTCCCAGCATCGTCTGCCCACAACCATTTTCCCCCCGCTGTCTGCGTGAAGTGCCTCGCCCTCGTTGCCCCACTTCTGCTAACCAAGGGCCCCCCGACTGTTCTGTTCCCCTTCTTCTGGAGCGCCTCCCTTCCCTCCACATTTCGCTCTTTTCTTTTCTCCGCTTGCGACTTTCCGCTCTTACGGCCTCACTGCAGGTCCCTCCCGCCTCCTCCGTCTTGCCGTCTCTTCACGGACCGTCTCACTGATCTCTCCTCCGCCGTTCTCTTCCTCCCGCTCCCCCCCTCTCCCTCGTCTGCCGCTGTCCTGGCCTCCCTGCCGCAGTCACGGCTTCCACAAGGCCCCCCATCCCCGCGGGGAGGGGGAGGGGACCTGCTCCGTGACCCCCCGCGATCTTCCGTCCGAAAGCCCGCACGGAAGAGGGTGCCGCTCCTGGGCATCGGTCCCCTCACCATACGCGGGGCTGCACGGGGCGGGGGGCATCTCAGGAGGGCGGCCGGGTCTGCGCAATCCCCGGGCCAGGGAGAGACTCCGCGCCTCTGCGGGCCGCGCCGGGCCAGGCTGCGGCGCGAGGCGCACGCGCCCATCTCCCTGGACTCCCACGGCGCGGGTGGGAGGGGTGCCCAGGGACGGCGTGAAGCAAGGAGACAGCGCGGCAGGCGGCGTCTGAGGGCCCGAGGGCCGGGAGACCACGGGCAGGGGCCGACTCCGAAAAATGTGAACCTAAACGCACCGGGACCCCCGGGGCCGCAGCGCCGGCCGCAGGGTTCCGTGTTTCTCTCCGCGACACCCTACTTACCGCGGTGGGAGACGAGGGTGAGGGGACTCTAATGTGTGTGGCGACCCCAGACCCCAGGGTTGTAGGCCTGGGGACTGAGACGCTCACGTAGAAAAGAGAAAGTTCAAAACCCTCAGAGGCCGATTTGACGTTGGCTCCCTGCCAGCCGCTTCCGGGTCGGTGAAAAGTTGCGCGTGCGCGCCGGTGGAACGGCGGGATTGGGCAGGGTCCGCGGAGAGTGCTTCCGGTAATGAGCGGGGTGCGAATAGTAGCCTGGCTCTGACGCGCACCGCCTGTGGGCGGGGCTGGGGCGAGGCCTGGATATTGTGCTTCCGGCAATAGGGGAACTCACGCCCTGCCCACATCTTGGCCCTAAACCCAGAGGGCAGGATGGGGCGGAGCTATGGAGGAGCGCTTCCGGTAATGGGAGAGAAACTGAAATGGCCGGCGGAGCCAAGATGTCGGGGGGCGGGGCCAGGACGAAACTGGGCGGAGAATTTCCGGCACTCGGCGAGTCTTCAGGTTTGCCCTAGCTAGGATTTCCGGAGAGAGGCTAGGACCAATCAGCGAGGTGGGCGGGGTTTGGCTTCTTCTGGGGCATGACCTGGTCGTGTCTTTTTTGGAATTTCTAATCATTTCTATTTCTTTTGCGTCCAGTGGGACGGGACTACTTCCTACGAATTTAAGTTCATGTTTGAACAGTGAGGTAAAGACTGGAGTTGTGCGGGACATGTGTGTTGAAAGTTAACATGGTTATATTTTAAGGGTGAAAGTGGCTTTCCTCAAAAACTGTTGTGAGAACAAGAAACAACTTTTGGCAAGGATGTGGAGAAAAAGGAACCCTCCTGTACCGTTTATGGCAATGCAAACTGGTGCAGACACTGTAGAAGACAGTATGGATTTACTCCAAAATAGAAGTACCTTACTACCCAGTAATTGAACTAGTGGGTATTAACCCAAAGAATAGGTAAACACTAATTCAAAAGGATATATGCACCCATATGTTTATTGTAACATTATTTACAATAACCAAATTTTTTTTAAAAGATTTTATTTATTTATTTGAGAGAGAGAGAATGAGAGATAGAGAGCATGAGAGGGAAGAGGGTCAGAGGGAGAAGCAGACT